TCAGATTTTTTACTGTTTGTTTGTAAAAAGAGCCCAAAAACATTTTTTAGTTGCCTTAATGTACATATAATAGGCATTAAAAAAATTCAAAAATTGAAATCCAAAAAATCAAAAAAAATGGAAGAAAAAGAAACGTTTTTTTTTTCAATACTTTTTTAGTACAAAATATCATTTAAAAAGTGGTTTCAATGCATATACAGACAATGCAAAATTTCAATGCAAAATTTCTAAGATATCAGTGACTCAAGAGTTTTTATACTACCAATTGTAGATGAAAAAAAGTAAATGTCATGTCATGTAGCTTTGGTTTATGACAAGATTCTAAAAAATACAATTTCAACGAATGAAAAGTTCTTGTAAACTTTCGATGCCTTGTTATACCATCAGTAGCGGATTTAGGTGATGGGGCGGGGGGCGGACACGTCCTCCTTCAAGGATTTGCCCCCTGCCGACCCAGAGGTCCCCCCTTTGTACTATTTTCAGATATCCATTTTTGGCTAATTGACCTTAAAATTTTTCTAAAGGCGCTTTTGGCGCCAATCTATACTAATTTTGAGGGGGAGCGCGCGCCGAAAAAACGTGCTTTGGTCAATTTTTTCCAAAAAGTGCCTCAAACGCTTGTTTGGTCTGTTTTTCAAAATTTTGTCTGCGGCGCAGAATATTTGGTCAAATTGGGGTATCTATAGTGATTTGGGAGAGCTCAGAAAATCAATTTGGTCGAACTAAAAAAAAGTCGACAAATTTTTTGAAAAATTTTGAAAATCTGCCCCCCCCCTCGAGAAAATCCTAGATCAACCCCTGTATACATTTACAGACTCGTAAAATAAATTAATGTATGATTTGCTTGTCTCCAATTATAGGAAAATGTATGGCTAGCATTTAGCGTTTTTATTCAACCAGGAAAACAACTTTTTGGTTAACCCCGCGCTCTTAAAGAAAAACTCAATTTAAGAGAAACCATTTTTTAACGGAATTTTTTATAACATCTGAAAAATATCAGCGTTTTGAGCTAAATTTAAAAATATATATAACTTACTTGTGATTTTGTACTTCATCGGCGAAGTTCTGAAGGTTTAAAAACTGCCAATTTGATCAATTGAACGCACGATATAAACTAACGCGTAATCGCCAATTTTAACCCGGCTCAAAAAAGTTTCAATTTGAATTGAGGCGAGCTATTTGATCTTTTTCAAAACGATTTTGTCATGTACTTTCAAAAGCTTTTTGGGGGTGGATTATCAAAAAAAAATTAAGAAAAAAACATAAAAAATTTCATCGACTTTCATACGTAAATTGATAATCAGAACATTCAGGCCTTCCCCTGGTACAAAAGTCTTGTTTAATTTCAAAAAGGCTGCGCGAATCTTGAAATTTTTTGTTCATATTAATTTTCGTAATTAAGAACTTCGTAACTGACAATTCTCATAAGAATGTTATTTTGCTATTTCATTATACCGTTTTAAAATCCCAGAAGCTACGTTGCAAATTTTATTTGTATTGTGGAAGGAGCAACTTCATTTGCGACTAAAATAAGTTAAGTTCAACACGCAAGCAAATCGCTCAAAGCCTATGACCTGTGTGGAGCGGTTTTTGAAAATTAATTCCGTTCCAAACATATCTGAGCTAATCCGATCAAAACAATACACAATTTTTCTTTGATAGAGGCAGTCAAAATACTCTTAAGAGTCTTTGCATGAAAGGCAGTTGAAACATGTCCACGTCCAAATTATTCAGTCGATATGGACAAAACATTCCGGATTTTGGGAAAAAAAAACAAAACATAAGGAAGGCAAATCGCTCTGGGTCACAGGACTACTTCCTACGCATAGCAAAAATGATATTGCTTTATTTGGAGGGGCTCTATGTATGCGCCAATCAACAGCTGGGCGCTAATTGAATCAATCTTCCAATTTTTCGATCCGACTTTTGTAACGAAAGTAACGTAATATTTTTGCTCGGGGTGGGTTTTTGTCTTCAGATAAATTCGATTTTTTAGGTCGCGATTTTGACGAATTTTTTTTATCATTCAAAGGGTGTTGTTGTCTTGAGCTTAAATTTGAGAAGATATTTCATCAGTGATCTTTTTTCGTAAAATTATGAGGGTTTAAAGATTGCCATTTTGGCCAATTTGGGACAACAAACGCGCGATATATTTCGCGCTATTAACGCGTCAGCGGAGATTAAATCCGTCTTAGAAATCGTTCCAAATTGGTTTCATTGGTTAATGAGAGCGAAATCTAACTATTTTTTGTACCTTATAAGGCGTGTGGGGGGATGAATTTCACAATAACTCTCAAATTTTTTTGAAAAAATCAGATTTATTTGTTACACTTAATTTTTTTCAAGTTGTTACTGCTTCATAGACCTTAAGAAGCAGTGGGAACATTCAGGGCCTCGCTCTGATACTAGCAGTTTAGTTTAAATTTGGTGTTTTGTTCGATTTCTGAGAGTCCATTTTTTCTTCAGTTTACTCAATTACCAAACATTAACTTTGCACTTTTATTGTTCTTCCGGTTACCCTTTTCCCCGGGATATGAAGTAGCTATAACGTAGAGTGTTTTTTTCTTCAATTTTTATTATCTCAAAAAAAAATTTCAAGGATCAAGCGTCCCACTGTCCTACCATGTTCAGTATTGAGCTTCCTGATAACCTTTGATGAATTTACTCTTCTATATTGAAGTCTCTCTCCGATCTCTTCCTAGCCTCCAAATCATGTAAGAACCAAAAACTTGCAAGCAAAATAGAAAAAAAAATTGCTCTGTTGAAGTTGAACTTACTCCATAAACGGGCTCTTTCAATTATAATTTCCAAACTTCCGAACTATGATTAACAAATTTCGACTTTTAACTAGCCATTTATGATGGAAAATTTCATTCAAACGGTATTGTTGTCCTGAGCTTAAATTTGCCTAAGATATTTCACCTGTGATCATTTTTTGTAAATTTATGGGGGTAATGGGGATTACAGGCTTTTTTGGCATTGGTTTTAAGTTTTTTGCGAAGTCCAGAGAAATACGCCGAAAAAAAACGACATTAATTTGAAAAATTTATTTAGTTGTATTTTTTAAGACTGGAGTCGGAACATTCTTGCACAGTAACCGGCTATCCTAGTTGAAAATTGAAACTCATTTTTCCATTTAAACCACCCTCATCAATGAAATCTGCTAAATATACGCCAATACCCAGCCTGTTATTGTTCCTGTTATTGTTACGAATATTTGTGCTCGGGGTGGATTTTTTTTCTTCAGACAAATTTCGACTTTTTAACTAGCCATTTTTGACGGAATTTTTTTGTATCATTCGAAAGCTATTGTTCTCTTGAGCTTAAATTTGAAAAAATATTTCACCTGTGATCATTTTTTGTAAAGTTATGGGGGTTTAAAGATTGCCATTTTGGCCAATTTATGACAATTGACGTGCGATATATTTCAAATTATTAACGCGTAAGCGGAGATATAATCCGTCTTAGAAATCGTTCCAAATTGGCTGAAGGAAGCTTATAAGCTTATTTGTATAATTTATTTGTTGCTCTGAGCAAATTTCATCACTTTGTACTTTATATGGCGTGTGGGGGATGATTTTTAAAAATTAAACTCAAATTTCAATTTATTTTTATTACATTAAATTTTTCATGTTATTACTGCTCCATAGACCTTAAAAGGCAGTCGGAACATTCAGGGCGTCGCCCTAATACGAGCAGTTTTTTGTTTGCTGCCTTTTGGTTAAGAGTTTGCCAAATTTAATCATTATTATTTTGCGTCCAAATACACTCAGGGGCGAAACAATAAAACGCGATCACAAGAAATAAAACCAGGGCTAGAGTTTGTTTTTTTTGCGACGCTTCTCGGCAAAAATGAAGGATATTTTTGGTAAAATATCTGGAGTCAAAATTCTTAGGCGTTAAAAAGTATAAAAAACTTTGCTTCGTGTTCTGAGAGGATTTATAATTTTTTTTGGGATGGCGGCGGGATTTCAATTTTTTTTGTAAATAAGGTCAACTTTTTTCAGGTTTTTCAAATTGATTTACTTTCGTAGCATATCTCAATACGTGGTTAAATCTGCAACTTTGATGCCGTTTGATATTTGTGTATCGGGGCAAATTTTATTTATTTTGTGTATCGGGCAAAACACCAAAAAACAAAGCAAACAAAAAAAGAGTGTCTCTCTGTTGGAAAAATGCTTGTCATGTAATTCCATTTACGGAAAAAATACCAGTCATGAATTTTCATAATTAGAAAAATGCTAGTCACACAGGCTATCAGGCTACGTAAAATTTCTCGGCATGGCTATTTTCATTAAAAACTTTTTTTCTGTGGAATCTTATGGAGTTGTAAGATAAACATCTTTTCCATAAATAAAAATTGTTATGACTAGCGTTTCCTAATATTTTTGAATAGTAGTAGTTGCCTTTTGGCTCATCTGAATTTTCAAAATTGTTTAGTGTAAGACATATTTTTTCAAGCCGCGTTCAATTCGCCACTAAGTTAGTTATCAGACAAAGAACCTTGGTAAGTTTGACTTATGAACTTTAACCATTAAAGAACACCACTGGATAGATATAGAAAAAAAAGAGATGAAGGCAAGCATGTATATGTCACCGAAACAAAATAAGTTAAATTAAATCCAAAATTCAGACGGACTTTTCTTCGAGTTGTTTGATTTCAATTTACCCAATTGTTCACCTAGAGCCAGGGGCGGATTTAGGGGGGGGGGAGCGGGGGGCGGACGCCCCCCTCTCCGGGATTCGACCCCCTGCCGACCCAAAGGGTCCCCCCTTTGGTACTTTTTGAGAAATCCATTTTTGGCCAACCGACCCAAAAATTTTTCTAAAAGCGCCTGCGGCGCAGAAAATGTTGCCAAAAAAGGGACTAAACCATGCTTAGGGAGAGCTCAAACATCAAGTCGGTCGACCTAAAAAAAAAAGGTCGACAAAATTTTCGAAATTTTTTTTGAAAATCCGTCCCCCCCTCGAGAAAATCTTAGATCCGCCCCTGCCTAAAGCACAACAAATTAACTAATAATTTTTCTCATAATTACCATAAACATTAGATAGTTTAATTGAAAAATTTATGGAATATTGTGCATAGTTATTTGATTTTTTCAAACATTGTTCTGAACACCAAGGATGAGCTATGAGCATACCAGAACTTCTCGGCATTATTGAATCAAAAATTGTCCAAAGAGCTTATTCTTCTAACAGTAAGAGATGGAAATGTATAAAGATGGTGTTTATTACAATGTAAGCACTTTGCTACAATTTAAATTATTTTTAAAAGTATTTTCTGGTAGTTATCTTGTATCTGTTTTAGAGTAACATTCATTTTTTCGATAACTGCTTGGCTGTGAAACGTTTCTTTTGCCATCAAGTAACGAGTACGAATCAGATGAAGCCTCGAACCAGGGAACTTTCCATTGATCGGCTCACAAATGAGCTTCTTTACCGCAGCTCAACCAATGCTAGTTGAATTTTCCAAATAAAAATGTATCATGCCGAAGTCATCATTTGAAAGGCATCATTTGAAATAACTTCAGAATTAATTCAAATGTATTCTTTCTCAATTAAAATTACTAACTAATTTCAGATAAGTTTTCATTTGATACGCAAGATCTCATATTTGATATTCCAGTTATTCCGCTGTGAGCTGAGTTTTGAATTTTGCTCGCTTTGCCCCGGTTTGGACTCCGAAAGGAAGAGTTGCGAAGGAGACTTGCAAACGAACGCGTTACCTTCGAGCTACCTGAAACTGCTAATAGAAAAATAACTTTTATCTAGAAGTGCTAATTCATCTGATGAATAAAATAAGCCGAGATACATTGTTGTTAACTTGTTGAATTGTATGAATAAACGCTAGGCATATATCTTTTTTTCTCCTAGTTGGTTGGAACCTTCATGAACAAATGCTCTTCGAATCATGCAAGAACTTAAGTTGAACTGAGAGTTTAACTTGTCTTTCTCTTGTACTCGTTAGACTTCTAGCTATGACAGTCCTATTCAATTAGGAGATGATATGTTAAGACAAGATTTTTATCAACAGTTATCAACAATCATGTAACATAAAAATTGACAGCATATGGTGGAATAAAGTTCTAATTTAATCGAAATAACATAACTAATAATAACTAATCAAAAAGCTCACCTCTTTATGCATGCAGTGATATTAGTTATCCGGACAAAAAGCATAAAACTTGAAATATAATACGCGTCTTTCTCAAGTTGGGTTGACATAAGACAAAAAAAAAAGAAGACAAAAATTCATTAGAATTTTAGCCAACTTAATATTGTGTTATCTGTTTCGCGAAGTTTGATAAATTTTGTTTCTTTTTAGTCAATCAAAAACTACGCTAAAATTACAGAGCCAGTTACTGACAAAACTACAGAAAAGTAAGCCTCTTACGTAGCCCAAAAATCTAAGCAAGTAAAAATCTCCAAAAAGTGCAGAAAACTGTTTAAGAATTGTTTTTCAAGGAAAAATTGGCATTTGATAGGGTAAAAATGTCATTTGTTGTCTATGAAACGAGTATAATTGAGTGCATACAATTGTTTGGAGAATATTTCTTTGATCAGATTTGTTGGACTGCGTAAAAAGCTCACTTTGATAAATTTTATCGGATTTTTTTAGTTTTAGCGTAATGTTCGATTGACTAAAAATCCAAAAGCAATTTGTTTTTGGGGTAAAAAGTTCAGGCCGAGTTTTGCAGAAGGAATTGCACAAAATACTTCTGCGAAAACTGTAAGCAAGTTTTGTTGGCATCAATTTCCAAGTAAAAATGTGAGCAAGTTCCAACAAACAGTTGGGGAGAAAGCGTTTTAGCTTATAAGCTTTATGTGTTTCATAAAATTGTTTTTGAATGAGCAAGAAATTTCAATGAGCAAAAAATTTAGGCGTGAAATTTTTTCAAAAGAGGAAGCAGAAACCAAATTTGAGAAACTTTGTTTTGGAGGTGAAAAAAAGCTAGTGTATTATAACTACTTTCTGAGTGTTCTTGCTGCAGAACCATCCTTGCAAATAACCCACAAGTTTCAAAATTTTGAACAACAGTTATATTTTAGTGAAGTTTGTGAGCTTGACTTACACGTAAGCCGGAAAAAAAAACAACAGATAAAAGAACTGAAAGGGTTACTTTGCTCGGCGTCAGAAAAACGGCCATATCTGTTTTAGTGATACAGACAATAAATGGTCTTCGGTGTTTACACCAGAAAGATGGACTAAATTTAAAGACAACAAAACTGCTCGTGAGATTCCTGGTTCTTAAATGGAGCAGTCTTTCCCACAAAAAGTTAGCTGGAATAGTTCTTTTGCTGGTTTATTTAAACCATCAGCGTAAAATTGCCTATCAATATTCAGCCATTTTTGACGCCGGGCCAAGTTACTTTTTCAATTATATTTCCTACTGTTTTTCCGCGGCAAAATTAAAAAGTCAAGCTCGTCAGCTTCTCAAAAAAAACAATTTGAGCCCATAAATATCATTTACTTGTGCTGTTTGCGAGGATTTTTCTTCTCCCAGAACATTACTGTATCTAGTTATATTATACTGGCTATTTCATTCCTTCACAACTAAGTTTTTCAAACTTTGCTAGTTTTTTTGAAATAACTTCATCTATCGTGTGTAGAAATTTCAACCCTATATCCTTAATAAATGCTGAGAAAATTTTAAAAACGTGCAGAAAAATGTTGTTCATTTGCTCGTTGAAATTTTAATACAGCAATTGGGGAGAGTGGGGAATCTGTCGTCTCAAAAAGAATTGAATCTTGAAAACCCAAATCCTCATATACGATGCCCAAAAGTTTCCGTAAGACTCCTTTGGCAACAATATAAACTAAATAATCAGAATATGGGGCAGGCTTCGCTGTCAGACAGGCTTTTTCTAGTGTTTGGGCGAACAAAAAAAGAGATGAAATGTAGAAGAAAAATAAAAATCCCCCCTAGAAAAAGATGTAGAGATCTTGAATGCAATTACTTTAACCGTTTATTAGTTGAACTGAATTTTACGTTTGAAATTACCTGAGCTACAAGATGAAGACTCGTTTTCACTCCGAGAAGACTGCGAGTTTGAGCCGTCTGCGGTCACATTGATCCCACTACCTTCTGCGACACCCGAAGAGCACTCGGTTAAACTGATGTATTCGCTCTCGCCTTTCGGCTGATCCGAAGACGCCACACCGGAGCTGATTTCAGATCCTCTTTCGTGAGTTGCTGCTCTCGGCGACAACGATCTGTCTTTTTGAATTGGTGATCGTCGAATCAGTTTGGAAGTGTCGGATCGCTTTTCGGCCGCGCGGCGAGGGGACCCAGTGGATGGTGGTGGGAGCTGAAAAGCGTCCATGTGCTGGATGTGTATTGTCGGAGTAGTGGGTTCCTCCTACAGAAAAAGCGTCAGAGAAATCCATGTTAAAAAAGTTTTGATGAAACTTTCATCGGCAAAAGAATTTAAACAACTAGAAATTAGGTTAAGCCGAAATTCTTCAATAATTTTAAGCTACCGACGATTTAATGTTAAGAGATTTTATGCATGATGTATTATGTATTAAGGAGCGATATGTAATTTTGAAAATCTTACACTTTCGAGTAAAATACAATCTCACATTTCGTGGTGATATGTGTTTTTTGACGTGCTCAGCGCTGATCAAATCTCCAAACGGGTTGTTTGGGTTTAAATTTAGTGCATATTTTGGCCGTGGCGAAGCATTTGCTGTCGTTGTTTCTCTTTTCACCGAGCAATCATCAGTTCCAAAATCAATCAGTAGGTGCTCGTGCGATGAATTCGTAGAACTGCTTGTGGTAGTGCCATTCTTTTGAGGATTTGGAGTGGAATAAATATGTGGAGATTCTGGGCTGAGATTGTTGTTGTGTTCGAATACTATGTGTTCTTCTGACGTTCGGCTGTCCAAAGCTGAGCTTGAGTGTTCACCGCTGCGCTCTGAAACATTTGACCGCAGTTTAACTAAGAAAATCGAAACAATGCCAAGGCTTCTGATGTTTTGGAAGCAATGCTTTCGATGCTAGGTAAAGTTTGAAAAGACTTGCGATGATTAAACACCTCGACAAGAAATTAGCTCATGCTTCCCTTAGTTTCGTATTTCTTTTTGTCAGAATTCAGCGAACAGTCGGACGTGCGCCAAGGTCACAAAATTAGCATAATTTGCGCAAGGTTCCAGATCAATCAATTTTGTCTGGATCACAGATAAAAAGTTAACCACCAAAGCACCGAATCAGGGTTTTTTTAGTTTTCATAGATAGTGGTTTGCGAATGATTTCATAGTTCCGAGTTTGATTTTGTCTTTGGCAGGATCCTCGCCATCTTTGCTTGTGTAATATAATGTCACGAGTCTATGTCAAGTCAAAAATCTTGTAAAAAAACGTACGAACATTTTTATCTCGAATTTCATTCGCCTCAACTTTGACTTTGACGGATTTCTCCCGCTTTTTAGAATTCAACACTAACGTGAACTGGTTTTTCCAACAGATCCTTTGAAATGAATAATGAAAGACAAAACTTAGGTAATAACTGAAAATTTATTTGATAAATCAAAATCAAATGCAAACCTCCTTAAAAAAAATAGGCTTGTCATACTCATTAGAAAATCAAAAAAGAACACAAATACTTAACTTAGGTGTCAATAAGTGGTAATTGAATCTAAAGGAAAATTTTTAGCTGCCGTTTGAAAACACAAACGAGACAACGGCCAAAAAGCAACTCAGACTAGTGAAAATAGAAAAAGTATAAGAAAGGGCCTTGAAAAAGTTTTTTTTTTGCTAACTGTAGGATTCGAACCTCCGACCGGTAAATATGGTATCTCCCGAACTTCCCTCGGTCAGTTGACCACCAGCAAGCACTAGTCATCAATAAAGCAGAGAAAAGATTCTATGAAACTTCCAGAGCTACTGATTGGGAATAAAAGCGATTTTGGTTGGAGAAAATTCGATTCATATTATTACATTACGCTCGCTAGCTCGCATTAGTAAAAAAAAGTATTAAATTCCAAATTATTTTAGATTGCTTAGAAAAACAACTGCAAGAACGCCCACTTTTATTTAATTTTTTTCTCATTTTTTTGGAAAAGAACTCACAATGAGCAACCAATTTTTACAAAAAAAAAACGAATAAAAATTTTTCTAGGGTAGACAGATCGTTAGATTTGATAAGAAAATATAAAAGTTTTTGTTTCTTTTTTTAAAACTATTTCAAGTCAAACTGAATTTTCAAATCAACTTTTCTGCTTATGCTCAAATAGTAATATCCGAAAATGATTGTTGAAATTGAAAAATCGTGACGTAGAAGATGTAGAACTACTCAAGACAATCATTCTGAATTTTTTTTGGGTCGGCCAGCTACAAAGTACATAAAAGGACACTCTTTGGGTGGCCAGGATTTTCAAAATCTGCAGGGCTAACAGCCATACAATAAAAACTTTTTTCTTACAAGAAAAACCAGAGTTTCACGTTCTTTCATGTTCTGCGCATAGATTCTAATTTCCGAAAACGTTTAAAGACATTTGCTTGAAATGTACATTTAGCTGCTCCTAAACAAAATCAAAAAAATTGAAAAAATGTTTTCTCGTTGTTTTTTCTTTAGTTATGAGTACATTACGAGAACGAAACTAAATTTTTGTTTAAAATCGTTAAAAATGCAGTAGCTTTGAATTGGATATTAAATTCTTTTAATTGAAAACTGATTTGGTTCATTATCGTCAAAAATTTTGTCTCATATAGTCTGAATACCAGCAAAAATTCTCCAAAAGTGACTAGAACTTTTCCGAATGTTAGTCATTTTTCAAACCAGCTTTAGATATCAAAGTTACAGCTGAATTTATTTATTATGATACCAAACATGAACCCTCCCTCCATCTTATGAAAACGAGTATTTTTTGAGGTAGAAAGAATGCGTTGGAAAAAATATACTCTGCTATATAGTTCTTTATCACTTCTAGTGGTGGTCAGAACAATAACTTGTTATAGCAAATTCAGACGATGCAAATTTTTATTTTTGGTGCCAGCTACAACGCTCTGAATTTTTACTTTTTCAATTTGCGTTGACCTTAATTTTGGTCGAAGTTTTAATGTTTAGCAACTCTTTGTTAAAGAATTTGAAAGTTTAGGGACGGAAACTTAACATAAAGATAAAATAGCATTTAAAAAAGTTCTCAAAAAAAATACAATTGTTGCATATTAACCAATCAAATTGAACCTGCTACTAAGGGCCGGATTTTTTAGGACGGAATTTTAAAAAATTTCAAGCTGTATCACTGTTAGGGAAAAAATTAAAGCTTTGGGCATGAATGAACATGACAAAAAGTTTATGTTATATTTTATTCTTTTCATTTCGCTTCCAAAAAACAATCACAAAAAAGCCATATCTCAGCCAGCAAATGTTCATGCCTAAGTGGGCCTGGAACTCAATATAGAAGTTTCCACAGATCTGCCAAGGACGCCAAACAAAATATATCACAAAACGCACAAAAAAAACAAAAAAACGCCGAACAAACTAAATCACCTAAAAATAATAGGCTAGGTTTCACCTGAACATTTTCATAATTGGTTTTTAAAAAGAAATGTTCACGAATTTTAATTTTTTTTGGTTATGCTCGATTCTTGACTGAAATTAACTCATTAGACTCTGAGTTTGCTTATTTTTATGAAAGTACTGTTGAATTATTTGAATAGATTACCGCTTCTACTTCTAATGTCGACTCTAACTTCGTTTTAGCCATTTTACACTGCTGAGGCAATTTTTTTCTAACAGTGTTTTATTCACAGCAAAGTCCCGTCTCTGGGTTACAGTGAGGAGTTTAGGTTAACTAAGTATGATATTTTGCAAATATTTGAAAAATATGCTCTAACGGATTTGTACTAATGATCTTTCAATTTAAGAAATAATTTATTTTGCAAGAAAGAAAAAACCTGGGCGTGCACTTATTGAAAAAAGTCTGCTTTTGCTAAGTGGCTCAAGGAAAATGTATTCACTTTTTTCTGATTTTTTTCTTCTGTACATAAGCAGGAAACGAACCATAGTGTTGTCTGGTGGGCGAAATGGGCTGCTGCTGCTGCTGCTGCTGCTGCTGTTGTTGTTGTTGTTGTTGTTGTTGTTGTTGTTCTTTTTGTTGTTGTTGTTGTTGCTGTGGTGATGTTTGAGTGGGTTTCGGGATGCGTCTGCTGTACTTCTCAATCTCCTTCTTCAGCATCCACTGGGACAAGTACTCGCACAGAAACGCATACTGACCCTGAAAGTCATTTGGTTAACCGGACCCTTCAACAGTTAGGGTGCAAAAACGTACCCTAATTTTTATGCTTGTCGTATCATAGGCCCCACTTAAGCAAACAAAATCTCTCCCAAGGTTGGAGTTAGCAGCAGATTGGGACCTAATCATTTTTTTCTAAAGATATGGAAAAAATGAAACACAGCTAAGAGAAAGTTGGAAAAGAGTCAATGAATGCAAGTAAACAGAATCATAATGAATTGATTTTTTGAACAAATCTCAACTTTCGAATTTCAAAGAAAAAAGTAGATGGTTCTAAAGCCCTTTGAAACACTTTCAAAGCCGCGACCTTTACCCTTTCGCTGTTCGATAATGGAGTTGTAAGAAAGGAAATGAATTGAACTTAAAAGGAAATCAAAGTCAAACCGCAAAAAAGTAAATTTGAGACTGAACAAATTTTGAGACTTTTACTGAAAAAAAAAACTTTAGAAAAAATTAACGACCTGTATAATAATTTGATCTGCGTTCATCGACTCTTAAAAATCTTTGACATAAATTTCAGAGCGCAGGGATGAAATTAGATTTTGAGAAATTTTTGTGAACGTCTTCTGAGCAGCAACATACCTTATAAACAACAACGTTAGGTTGTGGCTGTAATCAAATTCGATTGAAATCATCATTGCAAACGACAAACTACAAAAAGGAACTTCTGTCTTGCCAAGTTTTTTCAAAGGGTCCCCCTTTCAGCACTATTTCACGAGAGCCAATTTCAGATTACCAACGCTAAAAACTGTCTGAAGTCCGAACGCTCAAAAAAAAGGTTTTTCAAATTAACAACTTCTAAAAAAGCTCAAAAAACGGCTATTCAATCTACAAAAGCTGAACAAGCACCCCCAAAACAATAGACTTCTCTGTTGATGATATGAGCACTCATTTATGAGACTTTTGTTGATGATATGAATCATGAAAAATATGAGTTTCAGTAATAGAAATCAATTTCGAAATTCTAAAAATCACAATATAGAAACAAAAATATAGATAGATAGTTGCTGAGCAAATAAAAAATAGAACAGTAGATTTGACCACAGCGAGTTAGTCAGAGGCAATTGAAAAAAAAAGTAAATTTATATATAAATTTTTTTTTCAAAAAAAAGCATGCTGTTTTTGTCAAAAGGCAAATGATTCAGGATAGCTGATAACAAATGAGAACAAGAATAGTCGGTAGCTGTTCAAGTAGCACAGAAAAAAAGGTTAGAAAATTAAAACACTCCCGAATACAAAATTCTTTCCCGTTTTCAATGGTCGTAACAAAAAAATGTAGATATGATAGTTCAGGCTCCTAACAAATGTAGTCTAGAAAACCGAAAAAAAAACATTGAAATTAAGAAACTATTGAAGACATTTCAAAGACCTTGAAGCCAACACACCACTTACAAACTCATTCCATGTTTTAGTTTTGTCTCACCCTTTTAGGGTTATGTGGTAAGTAAGTTTCTTCGATATTTTCACCAAACTTTTAACATGTTTAAAAACTTGTCTCAGGAATTCAGGAACAAACAGACACAAAATTGTGCGCCTATCCGGTGCACAGTTTTGCCTCGTAATGAAAACTCTTAATCCCTAGGGCATTACCGTTTGGTTGCTGTGGATTTCTAAAGCATTTTATTTCGAAGTAGTATTATAAATGTTATGGTAAATTACTCTGCGACGAACTATAGCTTCTTGAATTGATAGCAGTTGTCACCTGTGACGATTTGTCGACTGCCGGCAATTGTAATTTGTGTCGAATTGTTGTCGCACGGGTCGGAAAAATAAAAAATTAAAAATCTAAGACAATACATTTTTAAGCCCCTTTTTTACGGTGAAGTTGCTAAAATAAATTAGAATATCAGTTTAAACCCTTTTCACTTGCGACCAATTTTGAAAAAAAAATGGAAAATTTTTCCCTGTGTTCAGGACAAGCAGGTGGAATTGATTCTACTCAGTTTTAGAGGTACCGCTGAAACTTAATTTTACTGATGTCACTCTTAATCTTACAAATGTTGCAACTCTGACTCTCAATTTTAGTTGGGATTTAGAACAACTTTTGTACTAAAAACGAGACTCAATCATTCAAAATAAATTAGCTGGGTATCAAAGTTATTTGGGCAAGGAAAAAAACTTAATTTGAACAAACAGAAACAAATGTTTTTAAAAGTTTTACTTTTCTCTTATTATTTTTTCTTTCAACAATTTCGATGCAGCAAAAAATTAATATTATTTTGTCGAAAAATCTTTTTTTTGCAGGAGCTTTTGTACGTTTCAATTTTAACTGCTTTTATTGTCTTTGTAAAAAGAAAAACCTGGTTAGATTAATTTGGGGCTCTAATCGGATTAGGTCCAAATGCCAATGGGATCATTTGGAGCTATTGGTGATTATTCAAAAGAAACAAATCATCACATTAATCTAGTTCTCACTTTAGTCTGGACCATGTTCTGGCGTTCTCTTCTCAGTTGGAGCACCAGATCAACTAGACTGAAGTCTTCGTGCAGTTTCTGTGCAACAAAATGAATTTCAATCATTGTATTTTAATCAACGTTAAATCACCGACTTTCAAACTAGAGAGCTTAAAAGGTACTTAATTCGATTGTTGCCCAAAGCTTTCCATGAAGTGCCCAAAAACTCGGAAAGTAGGTTTGGTCTGCCAAAGAAAACCCCACTCGTCGCAAAAATCCTAGATAAAACATGTTTTTGAAAACCCCACTCACAAAAATCCTAGATAAAATTTTTTCACTTAATTTTTCTGTTTTCATTTTTACTAGACTTTCCTTTGAGCTTCATAGTATGGTTTTATTTTTCAAAAACACATCGAAGCGCCAATTACATTTTGCAGAAAAACTTTCCCAAAAATCTTAAACACTACTCCCGACCAATCCTATATGACATTTCCAGAAACTAACTTTATTGTGTATGAGCTTGGCAATGTAGAGAAGACATGCAATTGTGCCAGTGCGACCACAGCCAGCGCTGAAAACAATTCAAAAAAGGTATCTAGTTTCCGTCTGATGGTCATGACACTAACTTTTTGGCTTGTTGTTCTAAATTCAGTCTGCTATAGCTGTGATATGCGTTTGCAACTTTTAAAGTTTTTGCTTCACACAAACATTCCGTACTTTTTTCAACATTCAATAGCATTTTTTGAATAGTTGGACAGATTTTTTCCGACCACCAAAAATTGAAACGGATGTGTTTTTTCGCGCTGAAATCACGTTTTTTACGCTTAACTTGTTACGTTTTGTACGCTTAAACCATTGCTTAAGGCAGCAATTAACAGATTTTAAAAAAACTAGAGAGAATGAGTGAATAACTGTTTTCTTATTCTTTCGGGCCACTTTTTGATGTTCTAAGAAACCATTTTTGATAACTTTTTTAGACCACATATGGTTTTGTAGGCTCAAATATACAAAAAATTCTTCTGTAGTTAGGTGACGGGATGTTATGGTGAGTTAAATATTGGTGTTGTGGTCAGTTTGGTATAATAATCGCGCAAAAATTCCATTTTTCGGTAAGTGGGTAGCAAATTAATTTATCTCAGATTTCATTAAAATTTTGAGTGAAGCAAGCTAATTAGTGAATCAAGGTCTAAAAAGATAAATATTCATCATTTTGTGGTATGAATTGAGTGTGCGGAAAATTAAAAAGTAATAATTTCGTTTTTTCTTAATTAGAGTTTTTAAATGAAATTTTAGTTCAAGCACTATAAAAAACAGTCGAAACCTTTCAGGTTTCACCTTGAAACCAACAGTCTCGTTTTCGATTTTAAAATTATTTTATGGAGGAGTGGATCAAAAACGAACATGTTTTACTCTAATTATTAAAACTCTATTAAATCGACTCCAATTATTGAATAATATATATAATCTACTTAATAATTAGAGTTGTAATGATTATATGTTCGTTTCTTCTACTATTTACTAAAATTAGTCTAAAACCATAATTATAATAATGGTATTAGGGTAAAACCTCAAAAGATCCGACTGTTTTAAATAAGTAGATTGTATATATTGTAATTTAGTACACTTTAAAACATTTTCCCAAAAAATTAAACGTTGTCAAGTATCAGTTAAAACACCTGAAACTGGTCTTAAGCTAATTATGACAGCAAAATGTTGATTACCAGTCAAAACGAGGATGCATGAAACTGCTGGTATAAAAACGAGGCCTTGAAGGTTTTAAAAATTTTTGTGACTTATGTGTTTCTTCTAGAAAAATGATGAAATTTTGGAAAAAAAAATGTTGAAATAATTTGCAAATCCGACTTTCGAAGAAGGTGCGGAATATTTGAGCTCGGAAAAAAACGACCAATTTTTTAAATGGTGCGTTTTTTGGAAATTTAAGCGGATTCCGCAACAAGGACGCTCCCTTTGTTCTTATTTTGTTCTTTCATTTTCTTTGATCGTTTCGACAAAATTCTAACATAATTAAAGACCTGTCTCTGGAATCCAGGAACATACAGACAAAAAATTGTGCACCTATTCAGTTCACAGTTTCGCCTCGTTATGATAATTTTCATCAAAAAAGAGCATATAATTGATTATTTTATAATTATAATTGTACTTTCAGCAAAATTGTTGGTAAGCGCCAATTTTAGATGTTTAAACGATTTATAATACATTATACCGATAAAATTTTTGGTGTTATTTTAATAAATTATAATCAATTATAATTGATTATAGTTTTTCCGAAAATCTCTTATAATCTGTTATAATCTTTTATAATAAGTTATAATCCTTTTTCTATCAAAAAATTGTTTCACAAAAAAAATCAATTATAATGGATAATAATTTAGCTATTCGGCATGAAAACACAGTAAAAACTAATTTAATTTAATTTTAAGCTATAAGCAGGGGCGTATCTAGGATTTTCTCGAGGGAGGGGGGAGCGGATTTCGAAAAATTTTCAAAAGGTAAAAGTTTGAAGAAAAAAAAAACAGGACAAAAAAGGCAAAAGTTTGAAAAAAAAACAGGACAAAAAAGGCAATTTTATGCAATTTTTGGAAAACTTTGACCAAAAAATTTCGCTTTTTCGACGCGCACTCGCCCCTTAAAATTAGTATATATTGGCGCCGAAGGCTCTTTTGGAAAATTTTAAGGCTCCGTCACCAAAAATGGATGTCTCAAGATAGATCAAAGGGGGACCCTTTGGGTCGGTATGAGGTCGAATCCCTGAGGGGAAGGGCGTCCGTCGCACCCCCCCCCCTAAATCCGCCCCTGGCCATAAGTACAAAATTAGAATTTCTCTTATTTCGGTAACCAATTGAAAAGCACACAAGTAATGAACTGAAAAGCGCACAAAACAAAACAAAAATAAAACGAAATGAAGCGATGACGTTTGTTGAACAATAATGGATTATAATTCAATAAAATTTGAAAAAATAAATTCAATAAATAATCGATTATAATCGATTGTAATCGATTATAATGATTTTTACTGTTTCCAAAAAGAGTAACATTATAATCCAACCTTAATCAATTCTTTTTGAAATTTATGGAGACTGACAATAAAAATCCATTATAATCTATTATTTTGTATTTTTACTGAGTGCGGGTAGTATAGAATACCCATCCCTATAATCGAGTATACAAAAAATAAAGCATATGCCATAACTGTAGCTAGTATCAAATCTCCCTTGTAAATTCTAACTCTTCTATTCTTTGTCGAAATCGGTTATTTGAAACCAAATCACACCGAGCAAAATTATTCCATCTTTTTTTTCGAAAGTCCGAAGAATTATTCACTACTCAACATCAGTATTGGTAAAACGATTCTCGGCTTCATTTAGTTGGGTTTGCATAGGTTTTCATTAGATTTAATTCTACCCCATCACTTAAACACTTGACGTTTATCGCGGACATTCGTCTGTGACCTGTTTTAGACAAAAACAAAAGATTCCCCTATTTTGTGAGGTGAGGTCCAAACACGCAATAGCAGCGAGGTCCAATTTTTCTGTGCTATATGCCCCAAGAAATATATTCTTGTAAACATCTGGTATTTGGAATCATATATCACAGCTTGGCTAAATATTTTGGGGTATCACAACAGGAAATTGAGTGAAACTTTGACAAATGTGAGCATCAATAGACACTTTTATTTATCGTATCTGCAATATTACTTATTCTTTGATGGGGCTGATTACTTTGGGCGGCTGATAACTTTGATGCAATCTGGTTTACCGTAAATGGCGATGAATTACGTAGTATTAAAAGCGTTGATTAAACTATCAAAACCAGGGCGGATTAAAAGGGGGGGGGGGGGGCGGATGAACGCGCCCCCCAGGGATTCGAACACCTGCCGAACTAAAGGGTCCCCCTTTTGTACTATTTTGAGATATCAATTTTTGGCTGACGGACACTAAAAAATTTCTAAAAGAGCCTTCGCGCCAATATATACTAATTTTAAGGGGCGAGCGCCTTTTTTGGCCTGTTTTTTCTCAAACTTTTGCTAGCAGCGCAGAAAAAATGGCTAAATAAGTGTCTCTTGGGTGGCTTGGGAGACCTCGGAAAATCAATTTGATAAACCTAAGAAACAAAAAAAAGGTCGACAAATTTTTCGAAATTATTTGGAAAATCCGCTCCCACCCTCGAGAAAATCCAAGATACGCCACTGATCAAACCCTATTCAAAAAATAACAAGACTGCTGGTAAATCAAGGTAGAACTTTGAATGTTCTGATTGCACTTTAATGTTTTTTGGATGAAAAGTTTTTTTAAAGTAGTCATTTCAAGGTGTTTTTTTAATTCTTTTTGTTCAATTTATCCACCCATGCGCTAATGTGATTTATTTAGCGTCTGTACTAATTTTAAAACCAAAGAGTTTTCTTCAGTTCGGTTTGAAACGCTTTATTCTGCCGCTTACGCTTGGTCTAAGAACGCAATATATCGCGCGTTAATTATCCAAAGTTGGCTAAGTTAGCAATTTTTAAAACCTGATAATTTAACAAAATAACCTTTCAGATGGTATAACCCGATAAAATTTCAGACGGTCTTAAAAAATCCATCAAAATTGCAAACTAAAAACTCGAAAATTGACTGAATAAAAAAACAACCCGCCCATGCATAAATGTTCGACTGCCCCTTAATCGATATAGAACAGTTTTTGATCAAAAGATTATTGAAAAACCATAAATTTTTGACAAGTTTAAGCATCAAACGTAAAAACTTAAATTGTAGTTAAATAATATGACCTATAAGCTTGCCTATATTCTATTTGGATCACCTTTCTGGAAGGAAAATTTGCTATCCATAAAAAAAATTGCGTTAGGCTTTCAGTATAATATACAAAAAATTGAAATAGCATAAATTAGTCCAGAGCCATTCCAAATTGAACCCCTTAGAGTTATAAAAAATTGCAGGTAAAATATCTTTTTAAACCTGATCTTAGAGAGTCATTATCGTCAATTCATTATATAGAAATAATTTTAAAACTATTTTTTCGATTTGAGAATTTTGACTGAGTAAAGAGAAACACGCTAACATAAGTATTTTGCACTTTTTTTAGAGTCGGAACAACAAAAACGAGCATATCAGGACGGAGTCCTGAAAAATCCAACCGCCCATCAATGTCTATGGAGCAGTATTTCAAGTTTTGATTTGAACAAATAAAATTAGATAAAATCCCGCGTAAAACAAAAGGAGATAGAAAAAAAACGCAAAACTTTTTTTGAAAATCATCTCCCAGCAAGCTAATTGAAGAATAAAGGATATGTTTAGCACGCTGTGACGTAATAGTTAGAACAGAGAGGCCTGTCAGTATTCAATTTGGAGCGAACTCTGAGCCGGATTAAATGAACTCTCTTGTGTTAATAGCAACAAAAGCTGGTATCAGGGCAAAGACCAGAATTTTCCGACTGGCCGTTAGAGCCTAAGCAAAATTTCATTTTTTTCACTAAATTGATGAAAAAAGGTTTGAAAATTGGTTTTGGTTTTCATTTTTTTTTTCGCTCTTAGTATTCAACCGGACGCTTTTTAAAGCAAAATTGATGATACTAGATTCAACTAACGTATTAGCAGTTCTTACTGGCTTGCCTCAAATCATTTTTGAACATTCGGAGCCGGAGTAAACAACCCCTCAAGCGATAATATATCGAGCAATTAATTGTCCCAGGTTAGCCAAATTGACATTTCTAAGCCGCCGAACTTTGCAAAAAATGACTACAGGTGAAATATTCTGTAAATTTGAGCTCAAAGCAACAATACCTATCAGATGACATTTAAAACGCCGTTCAAAAATGACCAGTTGAAAATCGAACAATTATTGAAGACAGAACCATACCAAGCAAAAATAATCCATCTTTTCTTTGCAAATCGGAACAAAACAGTCGCAGTCATTTTTGGATTACTTAAACTTTAATGAGTAACAGATCTCAAAAGGGAGGCATGTTTTCAGAAATTGCGTGTAAAAGCTCCAGAGATGCCGTTTTCTAGCTCTGCTTTGGATGGCTTCAGATTCAATCTCGATTATTTTTCTGTCAAAAACTTCAGACTTTGCTGAGACTTTTTCTCCTGAATGGAGACAAAAATATTTTAAAAAGTTTCCTCAAAAATGCGTAACAACGGATCATAGAGCCCATGTTGATTCTTCTAGACAGTAAACGTTGTTTTCATTGTCTCGTAAAACAAACTCTTGGGTGTGGTTTGTTGGCAGGGGTGCATTTAGAGAGGGGGTAAAAACACAGACGCTTATATTCAGAGTTTTGCCTCCCCTTTCCTTTACAAAACGTTTCAAAGTTATTTGGAAAAATTTGGCTAAAAATTGACGAGCCATCCTTCCACACATTTTTTATTTTATTTTTGGCGCCAAAGGTGCTCTTGGGAAAATTTAGGTTCAATTGGCCGAAAACTTTGCCGTAAAAGTAGACCAAACCCTTCCTTTTTTTCTCCTTGTCAAACTTTTTCTTCAGGGGACTCCTTTTTTATACATTTTTGCATCAATTTTTGGCCGACTGGATGTATCATTTTACTGAACACACCAGAGCCTGAAAGTCCGCTGTACTCTTCGGCTAATTGAACCCCTGGCCACCCAAAGAGCTTCTTTTTAGCACTTTTATAAGACATCAATTTCAAGCCAACCAAAAATTTCGTAAGGGGACTCTGCGTCAATTGACCAAACTTGAGGAAGATTGCACATTGAAAAAAAAAATCGAGAAAATTTTCCAAAAAATGCCTAAAAACAATATTTTTGTCCCGTTTTTTTCTAAATTGCTTTTAGTTCTAAGAAGTTGGACAAATGATGTCTCTTGATTGTTTCGGGGTGCTCGGAAAAGCAATGGATCGTTGTAAAAGAAAATCAATTTGGTCGAACTCAAGGTCGATTTGGAAGAATGTCAAAATTTAAAAAAAGTTTTTGAAACTCCTCTCGGGAAAATCTCAAATCCGTCCTTAATTAATATACCATTTATGAAGTAGAAAGACACAACGCCAAATTGAACAACTTTGTGGTCATTTTTGTGGACTTTTCATTCATAAATTTTCAAAAAATGTTAGAAAACGGACTTTTTGGCCTGTGTGTTGAAAATAGCTAGAAGATAAAACTGTTTCAAAATAGTCATAATAGTTTTTAAACGGCCTCATTTTCGAGCATTTTTGCAATTTTTAACCTCCATACTCGAAATCGACCCCTGCTGAAAACATTTCTATATGTTTTTATCTGTTTGCTGAGGGCTAAAATCGCAGCAAGAGCCCAAAGCCATTCGCAATAATCTTGAATATCTTTTAATTTACACTAGGAGACAATCAACACTTTTTACCTGCAGTGTACAAGTGGAATGTAGTATGAGTCAGTGGCCACATCTAGCTTCTCCTCCAGGAACTCACTCAGCTGGTCCAGCAGTGTCTCTATCTTGTTGAAGTGGCCGGACACTCCGAAGTCAGGCCACCCAGTGTATTGCACGTGCTTCACTTTACGCTTCTCAGTACAGCCCGAACTCTGCCAACAGGTTTAAGGGGGCCCATCAAGCTGTTGCCTTTTTTCCTAGACCCTCATCTTATAAATTATCTTTTTTATTGTTGTCTTACGTTTAATTATGGCTGAAGGTTTCATATTACGATGTACAAATCTGTTCACAATGGTTAGTTCGTTCACCATGCCAAGTTTCATCGAATTATGACTACATTTAATAAAATTTTAAAATAGTGTACCCCTTAAAACACTAAACTAAACTAAACAAAACTAGGGTAAAAGAATACGAAAGTAATACTGTATCAAAAGAGTTCTATAAAATGCGATCACTGAAACGTACACAGATTCACTCCGAAGGAGTGTGTATGTTCAAAGTCAGACATAACCAAAAAATAAGTAATAATAGTTAAATAGACAATCATAACACTTCCCTCAATTGGGAAAGTTTCAAACTAACTACTGTAAATTTACTACAAATATCTTCTCCTAGGATGTCCGGAAAAAAATTATATAAATCACAACAATTATAGACACAAAGAGAAAAAAAAATAATCAGCATCAGTTTAAAGAACTATCCGGCCAGTTTAAAGAACTAGTCAGCATCAGTTTAAAGAACTAGTCAGGTCGTAGTCGTTGGCAAAGTCGAGACTTAGATTGCATCTGGCGGAGATACATCTGTGTTAGCTCCCGGTCTGAAATTCAAGTCTTGTAGGGCAGTAGTAGGTGTGATAGAGGTTGCAGTAGGAGCTGGTTTTTTTGAGACCGAGCAATCCCATGTAGGGATCTATTGACTCGATAAATCTTCCCCATCTAGAAAAACATATTTTTATTTTAATATTAAAGTCCAACTCTTTTTTTCGATGGAATCCGTTCCCTCCTCCTGATGTCTAAGTAAACCCATAAAGTTGACAGAAGGCTCTCTACCAACATCACTGCATGGAAAACCATCAATTGCCCATTCCCATTCACTAAGTCCATAGATAAAATTGTAATTTGAACGATTCATCTTCGGCTAAGTAACCAGTTGGTGAGGCTTGAACGGCTCTCTTCGGTTGGAAGCGAAATTTCTGTCAGTGTTCTCCTTTCTTTTTGGGTTGGGGTGGTCTCCTGTGTTTTTGTAGTTTCGGACACGAGGGTTATGATGAAGATATCATGGCTGTTTCTGCTCGAGTTTTCGGTCCGTTTCTCCTGTTTTGGAGTAGATAAATGCCTGCTAGAAGATTTTTGTTGAGGCACGGGTAAAGTGATGTTTCCCTTTAATGTTCAAGCCTTCTTTCCATTGGGGTTCAGCAAGGTAATGTCTCATTTCCTACACATTTTAATGTCAACAGATAAATGGTTGGTTTTGATATGCTGACAACTTTGTCTCCGATTTCGCGATAAAAGGGGTTTTCTATTTTTAGCAACCAATACCTTTCGAAAGAACCTAACTTTTTTGATAGTCCTATCAGTTTGTGTCTGGTAGCGTGTTGGTTCTTATTGGTTGGGGAAGTAGATGGCTCTGACTCGTAACCTTTCTCCGAAGAGTTCTGATTTTTGGTTTTAGACCAACGGGTCCAAGAATCCATCTTCCACTCTATCACTTGCCTCGCAATCCAAACTGTGATTTGGAATTTCATCTCGAAAGTGTTTTCTATATTATGTTCGGTTTTCTGTTGTAGTGCTTCTCGAATTGGACACAATTGAGTGTCGGTTGGATCGTGCTCCATAAGTTCCAGATAATTTTGATAATCCTTCGTTAAGCGAGGGTTTAGCTGATTCGGAGGTAATTAAGAGTAGTTTCAACTACTATAATCAATTGTTTGACTAGTCTGTTGGATCGACAGTCTTTAACTGTACAGGAATGTATGTTTATTTTGTTTGTGTCACCAAATGTTTTTAGTTCGCGACTGATAAAGTAGGTAGCAGGACCCACTCTACATTTTTTTGAAAAGCCATGTAAAAGATTGTAGTTTTGAAGGAATTGAATGATTGGTTTTGTTGATGGGCTTGAGGTAATTTCCGCAGATGGGAATTTGGCAAACTTATCGATAGAGAGTAAACTGTGTTTTTGGTTAGCCCAGTTAATATTCAATGGACCGGCAGAACCCAAATCAATTTTTTCATTCGCCGCAGTGAAGGTCGGTAGTAGTTTCACATCAGAAGACAAGATTGAGGGTTTTAAAATTTTACCGGCACTAACGAAGTCAGAGCATTTTTTTGTGAAACCAGATCAGTCGGTTGATGTGAGGCCGCCACGCATATTCAGAGAAAACTTTCATTCCAAAATGTCCAGTTTGGGTCTGGTCATGAAATTTCATCACTGCACCTCTGAATGCAAACAGCACTACCATTGGAATTGTGGAAGTTGAGGTAAAAATGATAGAATTTTTTTCCAAATTGTTTTGAGTGCAAATCCCATTTTTCCTCCAAGACTTTAAGCAATGGTTTGAGGAAATCATCTTGTTCAGTAGGAAGATCGAGAATTCTGGTATTGAAGAGTTAATATCCAGAGGTGCTAATATTTTATGTGCCAAGGCTAGAAGTTTTGTTTTTGGGTTCTCTTTATCAAAGGAAACATGAATGCACGAGGAAGTAGGAATAGCTACAAATTGGTTATTTTCGTTTATACTTTTTAAAATGTTTACATCTTTTGGGTTTTTTTAAAATTTTTGGATTGATTGATAAAAGGAATAATAAAAATTTAATTGAGAAACCATTTTTTCATAAATCATTTTATACGAAATCCAGAGGAATACATTTTGAGGAGAAAAAATGATATCAAATATGGTTTGAATCACAAACTTTCCAAGCAGATCTAAAAATCTGTAACAGTGAGCTCAAAAGTTTTTTTTACGTCAAACTGCGTCATTGGAAAATTCCAAACTGTGATCAATCAATTTGTTGCTATTTACAGAATGAGTATTTGTATCCAAAAGATTTGAAAATATATTTCTTATTTTGTTCACGGCCACCAATTTTCCTTCAAGTGTGAAATTGAGGTGGGTTTTCCATTTGGAATTCTTGAAAAAAGATCGGATAAGCCCATATCCTTTCACGCCTGATATATAACTGTGAAATTAAAATATATTAATCTGTCTACCCAGCGTGTTAACTGCAATGAGATGTTTTTTTTTGTTGAATACTGGATAAGGCTGATAAAAGTGCTTTATGGTAAAAACTTCAAACTCTGACCCATTCAGATAATTTTTCGTAGTGTTCGACCGCCCATACTAGTCCTAAGAACTCTATTTCTTTGTTGGAATAATTTTGCTCATGTGTGTTAAGGAAGCTGCTTACAAGCTTACAAAAGCGACCGTTTTCCAAACCCTCCTATGGAGTTGAAATGTTCTAGGGATTCACCGCGACCGCTGTGAGAGACGTCTGTTTTCACTCTTGAATTATTTCATACGTCCATTTTACGATTTGTTTTTGATCTTCTCGAATGCAATTGAATGTGTATTATAGCACGTAAAATCAACTTTTTATTTGAAAGAGGTCGTATTATTTTTGGAAACGGATAAACCATTAATTGAGAGCGTTTTACCCTCCGTGAAATATGTTCCAAATCTTGCAATTTATATGTCTAACGACTCAATTTCTTGCTTCAAAAAATGGGCTTTTTGCCTATTTATTTGCAAGTTTTTGGTTCTCCAGAATGGAAAAAACTGGGTTGATAATGTTTTTGTGTTCTTTAAGAGATCGTTTGGATCCAATTAATATGTCGTCAATGTAAAATGCAGTAAAAAATTGGGCCAAGGGTTTAATTCATGAAATGTGGAAATTCGTATGGCATATCACCAAGCAAGGAAAATTCAGTTAAAAATTGGTATGTTGCGGTCAAATTTCATCCGACTATTCTTTCAGTTGCATTGTCTTATCTAGAAAAACTTGAATATGGGCATTTTTTGTCTAAATTTGTCTCCTTCGATTACTTCTGCGGTTTTTGCGGCTACGTTGTCTACCAAACGGCGAATGTGTGTGATTTGGTTCTTATTTTTGTACACTTAATTGATGACAAACTTCGAGTCGAGTGATTATTTGATTGATTTGTTTTTTTACAGGTTATCACAAGGACTTGCAGAATAGTCGATATCGTAACTTTCTAAATTCTTCTTGTGTCTTTCGGATATTAATGTTTATGAGACTATTAATCATATTTGTTTGTACTGGTCTTAAAGGGCTGTGAAAGTGTGTGATTTTTGGTTGATTTTTAATCTTTTTAAATTTTTTTCTGGACTTTTTTGTTTTTTTTTACACGATATTTCGTACACCTTGGTTTTATTTTTCGACATTATTTACAGGCGACATTGACCTAATCTTTTAAATTTTAGTCTCGGATTTCAGATATGGAAAACCTTCTGCTTTACTTCTCTGCCAGCTTTCTGAAGATTATCGTTCCCAAGGGTATTGCGCTGTTAAGAAATGCGGTGTATATTTGTGTGACCATCTGTTGGATCTGATAAGAAGTTCGGCTTTTCCGATATCTTTTATTGCGTCGTCCGTGAGTCCTAAGTATAGGTTTTTATTTGCTAGGTCTACTGGGTGAATTTTAAAAAAGGGTCTCGGAATTTCTATTCCTTGATGACATTCTTCTTCATAAAACTAAGGTGGCTGGCTGAGTCGACTCGAATTTTCATGTGTTCGAGGTACTCCTCTCCTAAGCCACTGTTTAACAGCTTTTTCAGTTCTTTTCCGTCGGAATTAGAAATCGTAGTTAAGTTCAGAACTGAGTATTCATTGATATCACTTTGTCCAGCTAGTTTCCTTGCGTTAATTTTTTTGATTAGTTACTTTAAAAAATACAGAATCCTGTAGAACCTGGAGAATTTACATAGTTATATACAGAATTGGAACTATCGACGAAACTGACATTTGTTTTTGAATTACAATTCTTTCTAAAATGGCCCTTATAGTTCCAAGCTGTACAATCTGCGTCCTTTGCCAGACAAACTGCGAGCTACCCTTTTTAAATTTGTTGTTCTCTTTTAACCTTAAGGTTTGATGGAAACGTTGTTGATAACTCTGGGATATCGTGTTTTTTTGTCATTTTGAGATAGTTTGATATTCCCTCCTCGTCTACTATAGCTGGATTTATTTCATCCATCTAGTAGTGCCACTGTGTCGGCTAAAAACCTCGTTGGATACCGTAACTTTTCCTGTTTTTATTAAATATATCTCGTTTCCTTTTCTTCTCCGCAGGGTGTATCACACTTTTTGGCCTTTTTCGCAAGGGCTCCTAAAACTGTTTGAGACTCTCTTGATCTCGCTGTCTTCTGTTTAGCATCTCTTCAAAAGTGATGTTTGATTTTCTGATGAAGGTGAGGTTCAGGTATTCCCTAAACTCGTGGAATTTTATCCCTAGGATTTTCCTTTTTTGTAAATTTTTGAGCAAAAAGTATTTTTCTCTCATTCCCAAGGCTAGAAATAACGTGAACTCGATTTTTTTTATTTTCTTCCTCCTCTCCTGTCTCATCCCGCCAAACAAAGTCAATTCTATCCTGGTTGACGCATTTTCTTTGTCTTCGTATCTACGTTTTTGATTCTAGTTATCTGTCTAGTCTTATTGCCTTCTCTTGGTCGCTTTTTGTGTCTGGGGTCTGGAGCTTCTTGGAATATTGCCGGAGTCGCTGTTTTTGGATCCGAAAAATAAATGAGGTTATTGATGTCGATGTTTTCTTTGGCTATCAGTGCCAATTTAAACATATCATTCCAATCTTCCCCACGGGATAGTAGGATCCATCGTATGATTTTGCCAGAATGGAGGTACTCTCCTCATGCCATATTCTGCACTTGCCTTAGCCAAATTAAAATGTTTAACTAGTACGTTAACTTCAAAGATTAAGTTAAAATGAACTAAACAACAGTAAAGGAATACGAAAAAAACTGTATTAAACTGTACTGCAAAATGAGATCAAGATTCATTCCGAAGGAGTGTGTATGTTTAAGTTCACAAGTTAGCAAACAAAAAGCAATTGCAATTAAATCGACAATCACAACAACGTTGAAGTACAGTCAAGCAACAAAGAATTTGAAATTATTTTATTTCAACGAAAAACTGAACGAATTTTCTCTGCAATTCTTTATGATATTGACACAAGCTAGACTTCAAATTTTGACACAAGCAAAGTTCAAATTTTGACACAAGCTAGACTAAACTATTTAAAAGGACTCAGTTGACAAACTCTGAGAAATCTTTTTTCGAAGGCGTAAATAAGCCACTATCTCAAAACTAGTTTTAGAGGTTTTCTTGTTGCGCAAATATCCTCACAAAGAAAAATCACTCCTTAAGCTGCCTTAATTGATAAAGAACACTATGAACACAATTACTTTTTCCGGTGTAAAAAACCGTTAAATATTTTATTATTCAATTCGCATTAACGATCGATTTTAGTCAGGAAGAGAATCATTCCATCAAAAATTTCAAAAAAAAATTACTGCTAAACCGACGCACAGGAATCTCATTAGGAGACTTATGTTGTGTAATTTGAGCTTTACCCAAGAGCTTTACGTGTATATGTCGTGAAAACAGATATGACCGTTTTTCGACGCCGAACCAGGTAAGTATGTTAAATCTGTAATTTGTCACTTTTAGGCAGCATAATGAGTAAGTCAAGCTCATCAGCTTCCCAAAAAACTTATTTGAGCCCTTAAGTTCAAATTGCTTATAATGTTTGTGAGGTTGTTTCCACAGCACGAACACCTCTAAAATTAGTTTTGATATGCTGGCTAATTTACGCCTTCAAAACAAGATTTCTCAAATTTTGTTGCGGTTAAGCCCTTTCGAATAATTTCATCTATCTTTTGTGGAAGTTAAAACCCTGTATCTTAAATAGTTGCAGAGAAAACTAACAAAATGTTTTAAAAAACTCAATCATTTTTAAATAAAAGTGAACTTTTTGTTACTGTGTCTGTAGTTATGAAAAGTAGTTTTGAAAAAGTGACTGTAATTTTGAAAAAATGAACCAAACCTTTTCGCGGTCGACTGGACTCCATGAATCCCGGTAATGGACACAATGCAAAAACACCCGTGCAAGTAATATGCTAAATGGAGTCTTGGAATAAAAATTAGGTGGGGTTGGCATCCCTTTATTCCTCAAGATTTCAACCCCCCCCCCCCGCCAACCAAAGAAAACTCCTTTTGCAACAACTATTTGCTCTCCAATTTTTTTTGAGTTTTGGGAGGGCTAGGAAAACTTATTTGGTTGCCTATAAAATTGACTAACAAACTTTTGGAGCGATTTTCGAAATCTGCCCCGAGATCCCTGATCCTCACTTTGCCATGTGTTTTTGGAACATTCATGTATATTTCGCATTCTGTGGAATATATTTTTTCTAATTTTAAGACATACATACCGATGGCACTAGACTAGTCACTACCAGGTGTCTCACTGTCAGATCTCCAAACAAGGGGGTACACGACTCCTGAAATACATGATTCAGTTCAATCCATTTATAATAAAAATAAGCAACTACCCAGCAAACACTCACTAAGGGTGAAGCAACACTACCCATCACCCTAAAATAGCCAAAAAATTACATGTACATCTTAACTGAGGGCACAACAGCGGTTATCCGTCAAGAGCTGAACAGCTCGTATTTTGGTCCTTTCGCTTGTGAATAAAGAGTCTTAAAATTTGAGTAATAAATTGTTTCAGGCAGGCAATATACAGGCGTTCTCTATAAATGCCACTTTAGTTAACTTGGTACTGCCTGGGAGATCATCATTAGATCTAAAGAATACGTTTGCAGATGTTATGCTATTTAGCTGAAAATAGTGTTTTCCTTTAAGAAACTTACAAGTTCTACTAAGAATTTATCTGTCTCAAATGGCTCGTTGATGATGGTCGGAAAGTACTGCTCACACTTTTTCTGAAACAAATGTTTTTTTTTCATTTCGATATCAGAAATTGCTTTTGCACTAAATTTGCGTGGTAATTTTTTTTTCATAAAACGATTATCATGAATTGGTAAATTGGTCCCTGAACAACTTGAATTTATGAATATTCGGATGCTTGTAATTTTATCAAATCTCAATTACTCCAATAAACCACCCTCCGCCCCCCCCTCCCTCCGTGTAACTGAGCATACCCGTCCGTTCTCCTGGAAGTCGCAGAGCATGAGGATGGAACTGACTCTGTTTGTCCAGCACATGAGCCAGAAGTCGAACACGGTGCCAGGGAGGGGTGCCTGACTCGCTACCATCAGGTTCAGTCCATTGTAGTCCTGCAGATACGCATCAGAAAACATGAGATTCAATTAATCAGTTGCATTTTCAAGATCTTGTAAACTATTTCTCCCCTTTGGTACCTTGTAACGAATCCCTCCCCCTATCAAGAAATAATTGAACAGCTAAGCATATATGAATTTTGTACCTTGTAACGAATTTCCCCCTTTGGCAACAGATCCCATTTTCAATGATGCTTAACTGTTTAAGAGACTCAGTCCTATTTTCTCTCCACTTTGTTGAATCCCTCTATTTATTTCGCTTCCATCATACCATTTTCAAAAATTTGAATCCCGAATGATTTGTCATATTTTCTCTATTTGCAATCTGTTTATTCAGTAGTACTTTTCTCGGTGAGTACTTTCAGATTATTCTAAATTGATCTATGAATAGATTGTATCTATCTATCTGTCTCTTACTGTGATGTATGATGCATTGATGTAGTCGTGGTCTGCACCTCTGAACTCACTGTCCACCGTCACTCGGTTGTAGTCAACTGAAAACAACGCAGCAAGAGAACCAATCAACGCGAGTAGAACACTCGAATGTGAAAATTAGGCTAGTAGTGCTACAGCTTGATACCAATTATTATTTACGAGCATACCAACAAAAGGACCAACCTACGAACGAACAGTTGATCTATTCATGAGGAACTATGATAGAACTTCTATTCTGTCCCCCTAAAATTTTTAGAGGGGTGTTTTAACGGCTGTGGTTACGCTATAATTAAAATTTAGTGTCTGAAATTTAAACTCAATTTACAGAAGATAATAGCCAACTAGTTGCAAAGATAACACACCGAACCAGCACTTTAGGTACTATAATACACCACACTGATCGGCGATCTTCTGTCAAAAGTTCAAACCTCATTTTTGATTAGGAACAATTCTAATTTCGACCTCAATTTTGGTGGAAGGATTTTCACATAATTTATTGGCTGAACAATAATTGTGAATCAAGTTAGTCACAGATGTCACTATAACTAGTTAAACGACCTGATTTTTGCGACTTACATGGAAGAATATCCTTGTATCTGTTTTTGCGGAAGTTGCCTCCCTTCACAGCCGTCATGCGGGAGGCCTTCTCACCAGCATCACTCTCCAACTCCAGAAGCTAAACGTCGCAGAAAAAAGTCAGCTTTCATCAATATCTCATATTAACCTTTTTCCAAGATCTTGCGCAGGCAAAATTAATTAAGCACAGAGACGAAGAAAACCTTCACAAAATTTTGTATAGAGCTATGGCCGAAATCTGAACGGATGTTCAAAACAAACACAACATGTTCTTATCAGAAAAAATTGGGTATAAAATTGGAAAAAATATTGAAAGCTCAATAACTTTCTGCTATTTTATCATCGGGCGTAGAGATAAGCCTGTAAGCCTATGCTTGATTGCGCTAAAACTTCATTTGTAGAAAACAAATTAAAACTTTCTAAAGCGGTACATTAGTCTAAATACTAAAGAAACTCTTGTGTCCAAAGAGGCACATTAAAAGTAAGGCGTTCACATTCAAAACGTTAGATCGAGTGTGCGATCAGCCAATGGCACTGATAATCTGTAAGAGCGAGCTCTCCCTTGACCTCTAGCTCCTGGTATACTATAGCCTGACCAATTTTTGAATGCCCTAGTGGTACCACGTGAACGTTCTAGACGCAAGAATTAGGCCTTGAGTCGCAAAAGAAGAATTTCGCTCAGCAAAACAACTCAGTCTGGAATTTGGGAAAAGAAGTACAAAAGTACTACCCAAATTTACTGATAGATAGCATCTTTACTATTCTCAGGAACCACCTTTAATATGGAGGCTTAACAAAAATGAATAATTATGCTTGGTCTTTGTTTTTTATTCAGTCAATTTTTGACTTTTTAACCAATCATTTTTAACGTAAATCTTTTAAACCACCTGAAAAATAAAGTCGTTCGGAGCTCAAAAATTTTTCAAAATATATCTTTGATCAGTTTTCATAAGGTTATTGGTGTTTGAAAATTGCTAATTTGGCCAGCTTAGAATAACTTACGCAATTTGAGCAAATCATTTGGTCTCATTATTAAGATACGAGAGGCTAAAAACATCCTTTGTATTTTATATAGCATATGGTGGATTAAAACAATAATAAAAAATTTGCACTGATATACGAGCAGTATTGTTCTTGTTCCGACTTTCGTGACGAAAGTAACGGATTATTTGTGTTTGTGGCGGTTTTCTTTTCTAAAGAGAAATTTCGACTTTTCAACTCAGAATTTTTGTCGAAATTTTTCTGAGCTCATATTTTTGTAATTTTTTCTTTTAGAAAAGTTCATCACTTTTTTAAAGAGAGCACTGCTTCATAGACCTTAAAAGACAGGCAGAAGAGTTAAAGTTTTGCCCTGATACGAGCTGTCTTGTTTTGATACTACTCTCAAAATAATTTTGGAGTTTTTCGATTCATTCGATCTTTCGATTTTGACATTGATGATTTTCTCGTAAATATTCGGCGCACACCATCTGAAATAGCAAACTTAAAATGCACACCATCTGAATAAATTAACACAAAAACCAAACAAGTCAGATTCAATTTTCTACTTGCAATGAGTCCCGACTTTTTCGAACCCCTCACACAAGCCCAGATTAGATCAACAACCAAACCAACATGACTAAAAGCGTTGCAGTTAAAGATTTCTGCATAAATCGAACATTCTAAAAATTTTTGCATTTAAAATATTTCATTTTCATTAACTTTGACATAAATATACCCCAGAAGCACCCTTTGCTACAATAATCAGTTTCATAACAAAATGGCAATAAGCGATAAAGTGTGCAATGAAACTGTCCTGACTTGTTTTTTTTACTTGAAAAAAAAATTGGCACAATTAGATACCTAAATCAGATATTTTTTGATAAAAAAACTTGGTTTCCATCAAAATGTTTACAAGAAAATCGATGCTGCTTTTTGACAAACTCAAGCCAGCAAACTGCCATCAGGAACTATGAAAAACGAATAACACTAGATAGGAAAAACCCATGACCAGCATTAAGCAACTAAATAAAACCTGTGTGACTACAGATTTTGAAATCCGACTTCCGGAGAGGAGTCATTTCCGGTGTAATTTATTCTTAGTTATCAGTCAGCAAAGATTGTGATCTGGGGAAAAGATCTTCCGGCTTAAAAGTTAACACCAATACAAGTACTTAATACAAGAATAGTCCAAGATATGAGTATAGCGCATATAGCTTCATCACGCAGTTTTAAAAAGCTTGTTCCTCTTCAACCATTTTTTTGAGCTTCTGAAAAAATGGGTAATTGCTCTTAAATTTTGGCTGTGGATAGCTCAAGCTGTACTGTTTCAACCTATTTTTCAGTTGAGGGACGTTTTCAACCTAATTTCCAGTCAAGGGACTTTTTCAACTTTTTCAAGGGACTTTCTCAACCAGGACTTTTTCTGCATTTTTTTTCATGCCTCATTATATATTTGATAGAAGAAATCTAAGTTAACAAATTTTACCCATATATTTTGAAATTTAGATTTTAACTTATTTCATTATTTCATGAATCAATGTTTTCAACTGATGTACATGCTTTCTGATGAAGTTTGAATATGTCCAATATTACAAAACAAATTGGTATTTTCAGATTTTCTGGCCACTGTCAAACGTGACCTGGGCAAACACTGCGCGACAGGTGCATCCCAAAAGGATGCAGTCTAATTTTATCGATGACTTCGAGGATTTATGTCCAAGCTTTCGCGAATAACTCAGACTTTTGCAGCTATTTCTAATTAACTGCAGATTTTTGTTGCCAAAAATTGACATGCCCAAGCTTTTGGAACAGTTGGCGCGCCAAGCACGAATGATTTTGTTTGCCCATGGAATCTGCTTCAAATGTTTAGATTCAATTGAAATATTGAATTAAATTGTTGTTGAATTTCGTGACAGCAAATCAAAAAATGATGCTGATTCGCTAAACCGAGCTTGGCGTCGAAATGACCCAGGCAGCGATCTTCGCTGGCCAATGTTGTCAGATGTTCTGATTTCAGATTGAAACAGAAACATGAATAATTTTATTGTGCTCACAAAGCGTGGCGCCGCCGCCAGCACAAAATAAAAATATGTTTTTATCCATTTGCAAAAGGAAGGAAATTGCAATTGGAATAACTCGTATAACGTTTTAAGCATTGGAAATTAAAGCGACCATTCTTGTTCAATACGAAAAATAACGATTCCTCTCGTAAAGTACGAGCATACGAAAGATTCTTCTCGTAAAAAACGAATGCGCGAATAACATTAACGAGAAAATACGAAGTTAAAAAGTAACTTCTCATTTGATACGACAAATTGGGAGATTTCCCATTTGAGTATGAATAGAAGCTAAAAACTACTGAGAATCATTCCAACAGTTTTCTCTTCAAACAACAAACTTCTCTTCAACCACTCCAACCCTTCTCTAAAAATTAATAGCCATTCTCAGTCAGACTGTCTTCAAATCCAACCTCTAAAACGAATATCGAGTCAAAAGGCAACTTGCAGTAAATTTATACTAACTTCGTTTCTAATAAAATATTTCTCAGCGAATTTTAGATTTACTTTCTAAGATATAAAGAGAAAGGACCCTATATTACTATCAAGCGTTTTGTCCGGCGCACATAAGTCTTGCTAACGTAATACAGAGCCCAGATCATGTAATTTGAGGGTCTGGAGTGGTATGGTGCATGAGGGAGAAAAGCTTTAGGTCGAAAATCTCAAACCGGGCTTATTAACTTTGAAAATGTAACCACTCCCATTCGCACCAAAAGTCCATTAAGTTAGTCGCGACAATCTGAAAATCAGTCACGATAGCTTGACCGCAGTTAAGAGCAAAAGAAATTGAGTCGCGACAGTCTGAACATAAGCACAACATCAGGATTGTTTTTTGCTACAATTCCTCTAGACTAGGGAAAACATAAAATGCCCCTATGTTTTTTTATAAGTTGATCAGTCATCATTGAGGTATTCCTTTGAGCATTGCGAATGTGCATTGAAAAAGGTATCACCCCCCTCCAAAAAATATACGTTTGTTCCTTTTCCCGTCGTGCTTAGCGGGCAACGGAGAACCCTTTACAACTTCAGCTGAGCAGATCAGCCTTTCAGCAAGTAAGTTATCGCCCTGTTTTAAGCGTCATAACATCTTGGCCAAAAGTTGAGCAATTTGGTGCACATTGATTGGAAAAAATACGGGTTGTATATGTTGGCATGACAGCAAATTGTTGAAAATGACAACTGATTACGTGTAACAAGGCAATGCGTGTGAATCCGTAACAAGGAATTGACAAGTAGCGGCCTTTTGCTTCGCTACGCTTATTGTTGGCACGAGTGTTTGCCGCTCAACCTACTGGTGCGCGGCAACAAAATGCGGATTGAAGGAAACAATGAGCAAAAAAAATGCGGATTTTTGCCTCAGTGTACGTTTTGCAATAGCAGATTAGATAATCACCAAAAACAATATTTATACTTGAAAAATGTCCAAATCATTCTGGATTTTTTTCAGCAAACTTCCTCATGCCTCGACAATTATCTTATAAGGAAATATCTAAGTTAAAACTTTGTACCCCTTGAAAATTTTGAAGATTGTAAGAGCACATGTCAACCGAAGAGAAATCGAATCATGCGAAGACCCAACAAACCTGATTGCTGAAAACTACCATTTAAAGTTTAGTCTTAATTTCTTGAGTTTCTGCCGGATATCAGATAAAGTTTATGATATTCACGTTTATGATAAGAATTATAGTCCAGACTTTCGAAGTATGCCCAGACTTTTGCGACAAGGCCCAGACTTTTGTCTTGAGAATCTTTTTTGTCAGTGGTATCTGCTACGAATGTTAAAACACAATTGAAACTTTGAAATGAAGTGTAGTGGAATTTAGTGCCGGCAAATCGCACTTTGGTGCTTAGTCACAAAACCGTGCTTGGCATCGTAATGACCCAGTTCGCGGCGACATTCGCTGCTTCATGTCCACATTTTTGCTGCTTAGAAGTAGTCATATTAGTATTTGTTTATCGCTTTTCTTGAAATCTTTACGCAAAAAAAAAACACAAACCTGGAATTCCTGCTCCGCATTTTTCTGCGTGATCTTCTCGAAAACTGACTGAACTTTCTGCAACACCGCCAGAAACGGATCCACTTCAGTTTGTGAGTTCGTTCGCCCAGACATATCTCGAAGGCTTGCTTATGGGGATGAGAATTATTTTAGAGATAATGTTACAACCAGTACGCAACTAAACAGGGCGCAAATAACTTCCGCTAGTTTTCAACTTCAAAAAACAAAATTTGTAGCATTCAGTTAATTTTTATAATAAAAGCTAAATTATTTTTTTTCTATAAAAAACTTAATTTTTCTAATGAAAAACTGAGTACCAAGATTATGCTATGATCATGGTCATAATTTAGATTTTTCGAGTAATTCTTCCCTAAGTTCTGTGTAGCGAAATGAATGAGAGGGAGTTTTGGTAATCAAATGTTATTAAATGAAACAAAAGACGTTCCGATTTGAACTAGAAGCAGAATTTACTATTTTGAATTAAGTTTAGCAAAATAAATGTCTGAAGAATTAACTTAAGCTGTTTATATTTCTAGGCTTAACGCGTCCTACGCCTCACGGCTTTCATGGTGACATCAATCTGAGAGTAAACAAATTGTTTAGGAATGTTTTGATACTAATTTTATGGGTAGCTAAGAGGTATGCACAAATAGTAAGAAAGTTAAAAGTCCCCCCTGCAGTTACATATAAAACGAGGCAACCATAAATGTTCGTGAACTAATCTGAATTAAGTATAAAACTAGAAAAAATCAAAAGATTTTAAATTACGAGTCAAAATGGTAGATAAACGTTCTCAAACTAACATCATAGAACGTTCAAAGCTAGAATATTTGACATTTGGCGATTCTGCACTAATGCAATTAGCGAAGTTGGTCTCGAGCTAGGCAAGTGAGGCATAGAAGTTCATGCAAACATACCATGCATTCAGTTTGTACACCATTATAACGTCAGTTTGTACACCATTTAGTTTCTTTTGGTAGTTTATGATTAGTGATGTAATTTGAGAAACGGTGTTTATTTGTGGTTTTTCTAAGACTAGTTTTAAGTTGCGGTTATTTGATGAAGAATAAGGCTATTGTCAAAAAAGCACCTGGCTTCAAGGACAGATCAAGGATCTTTTAATTCGGGCGGGGCGCAGGGCTAATAATTTATGACACCCAATTTGGCCGCCCATAAAACCAAAAACTTCTCGATGAGCCTTTTTGATGTGTGCACGCCAAAAACTATTTATTTTTGTCAAAATCTTCCAATGCGTGCACCCAAGCAGCTTTTCGGCCGGGTGTTAAAAATTTACCAACGTCGCTGAAAGTTTCAGAAGCTTGAGTCATTTTATTTTTTTAGGAAAACTCGGAAGTTTGACGGTCTAAAAAAAGCGGACACAGTTTGTTTTAATTATTAAGAATCCTCCCCCTTCTCGAGAAAATCTTAGATCCGTCTCAAGGAAAATCTAGGAAAAGCTCAACGTATAAATGTAGATTTTTTGCAAAAATATTCATTCGTTAGGAAATATGTGTCTGAATAGACAAAAACAGAGATCAATTTTCTCGATACTTTTTGAGATGTTTTTCGATTTTCCATCTCCACCAATTTCATATCTCGACTTTCACATGATACGACACTTGATTTCACAAAAGAGCTTTCTTTGAAGTACCAAAAATCAGCTGAAAAAACTACCTTAGCACATAGTACATAGCTACTGCCAGTAACTTCTGAATGTTTTCAGACGTTAAACGAACAAAGAAAAAGGAAACCGCAATTTTTGGCAGCAGCTGTTTGGCATAATCGGAATATTCACCATCAGCATTTCAATTCTGTTTGGAAATATGTCAGAACTAACTCGAGATACTAACAAGAGTCAGAACTAACTAGGGCCAGTCAGCAAAAATTAGATATCTCAAAATAGTTATTTCTGACACCTCTGTCTTCGTGCCAGATTGCATATCGCTTTTTAGCAGAAGAAAGATGGTATAATGCAGGGGCGGATCTAGGATTTTCTCGAGGGGGGAGCGGATTTTCAAACAAAAAATCGAAAACTTTGACGACCTTGTTTTTAGTTCGACCAAATTGATTTTCTGAGCTCTCCCAAAGCATTTAAAAGACACTGTTTTAGTCACAAGGCAGGCAAAATTTTGAAAAAAAAAACTGTCCAAAAAGGCGTTTTTAGGCACTTTTTGGAAAATTTGTCCAAAAAATTGCGTTTTTTCACCGCGCGCTTCCCCCTCAAAATTACTAAAAATTGGCACCAAAGGCGCGGTTTAGAAAAAGTTTAAGATCAGTCAGCAAAAAATTAAATTGTACAAAGGGGGACCCATTGGGTCGGCAGGTGGTCAATTGCCTGAGGGGGTTGGGGGGGGGGGTTTGTCGGTAGCCCCCCTAAACCCGCTTGTGGTTGAATGGAAGGTTAGCTCTAATCTGCAGCAACGCGAGAAGATTGGCATCGTCAACTTGTGCCTCGTTTCTAGATCAACAGTGACCTCTGCGGATAATTGGCTGAATCTTTCTCCAGACTTGTACTTTGCATTCAATTTCACCATCTGGGAGAACGTTTTAAAATATATCAATCAAGCTGATAAAATGCTGGCTACAGGGGCGGATCTAGGACTTTCTCGAGGGGAAGGGGGCGGATTTTCAAAAAATTTCAATTTTTTGTCAACCTTTCTTTGATTTTCCGAGCTCTCCCAAAGCGCTAAAAAACCCTGTTTTGGTCAACTTTGATTTTCCGAGCTCTCCCAAAGCACTAAAAAACCCTTTTTTGGTCAATTTGTTTGCGCCGTAGGCAAAATTTTAAGCATTTTTTGGAAAATTTTGACCAAAAAAGTGGCGTTTCTTTTTGCGCGCTCCCCCCTCAAAGTAAGTATATATTGGCGCCTGTGGTAAAGGGATGTTAAGCTTTACTCGTAAATTGAAAATGATTAGTTTCAATACTTTAATTCAAATTGAAACTGTGTTTTTAATTAACATCGTCTTCGGTTCTGTGAGCCAGCTTAACAAACGTAACTCGGTACGCAAAGCTTAACAACTAAAACTATCAAATCTACGCAGCGATCAACACTGCATGACCTTGGCCATTACATAATAACAATATATAATTATAGATACCAATATGCGATCCAAGGTTAGTGTGCAGCAAAGGTTACTTGGTTACTGCACAAGCAGTATGTGCTGTACCACACTCCCCTTGGACTAACAAAATTTTAGATAGTATACATATAAAATTTAAATAGTTATGAGTTTTGGTACTCAGTTTAATTTGTTCAACGGTTATGAGTTTATATGATTCTCCTTTCTAATCTTCCTGCAGCTGTTTTAACTGTGTGTGGGGTTTCTGAAACAAATTTCCCTTTTAATGGGTTAGTCAACGCTTTTTCACTTTTCCGGCTTTCATTGATTCTTAGAAGGTTAGTTGAACTTGGCTCTATCTCCTCGAATTTATCTTCAATAAACCCGTATTCCCACGAATACAATAACTCTTTCCGTAAGTCTGGGTTCATCGTACTCGTCTTGTCCACTATTCCTAATGTCATTCTAACATAACTCCCAGTCGCCGTTTTATTGTTTGAATAGTTCGCTCAACAAGCCCGCAACCCCGGTGGTCCCCAACCGGACAGAATTTATGTTCGATACTATTTTCAGAACAGAACTTCTTCATTGTTTTTGCTTTAAATCCCGAGAATTGATCAGTTCTTATTGATTCCGGTATTCCGTGTGTGTCATATAAGTACGCAGAAATTTCACCGATGATTTTCCCCCGGTCGATTTTGTTATTTTTACTGATAGAAATTTTGAATATCTATCTATGGCTGTAAGTTGGTAGATTTACTTCCCTTTCTTATCTTCTAAAGGGCCGGTGTAACCTAATTGCAGCTCTTGTCACGGCTGCCTGAGCAGTGGAAGAGGTTTTGACTCATTTTTTGGTATAATATATTTAAAAGTCTTACCATATCGCGTACATCTACGACATTCTTCTGCCAAATTCACAATGTCTTTGTGCATGTGTGGCCACCACAGGTACTTAGATACGTTTAACATCGCTTCTTGTCCTGGGTGACCACGGTGAATCCGTTTGAGTACTGCAGGGCGTAGTTGTCCCGGAATTGCAAGTCTTCCATCTACTACTATGCAATCGTCCACAACGGCCATTTGATGCCAGAGTGAATTTGTGTATGGTCCCATCAATTCAAATGAGTGGCGATCTTTCCGTTCTATCACTCTCCTTAGACGATCCATCCACGTGTCCTCCGTGGTTAACTCAGCAAGTAAATATTGGTCGAAAAGCTTCGATAAGTTGTTTAGATTATTGTCTTCTACTTGTTCAGCTAATCGGAATTCTTCCTTTCTGGACTTTCGAACACTCTTCTGTCCCCCAATTAGACTGTTAGACTGACCTCCGGACTTGAGGTAGAGCTGTCTGCCGTCAGTTCTACTTCGATTATTTTTTGATTGATTCCTTCTGTACTATTCTCCTGTGGCTTAGCATATTGGTTGATGCTTCCAATTCCAACAAGCTTCCCGGAATTACTTTATCAGCCCGCTCAGATCCTACTAGATCCCAAAACGAAATCAGTTTTTGGGGCTCTGCTTGCGTAGTCACTAAATGTGTCGGTGTTGGCGTGATTGACCCGAATCCCTTCTCCGATTGATAATGTCCTTTTTCCGCCATTCAACTTGTGGCGTATCGTCCTCCCCACTGTCGGAATCCTGTCCTCGATGCACTGTCCTTGTTCTCCTATATGTTGTTTCCGTCACTTGTTCTAATAATTGGTCTCTACTTCTATCCCGTTCCACTATTTTCACTGTCTTTTTCGGTTTCTAGATATACTTGTTTACTGTGTGAATTTCGTTCACTGATTTTATCGACCGACTGTTTGCAATGAGAAATTTTACATAAACTGTACTGCTCAAATTTTGAAAGACTTGAGTTTGGACCGTTTTTGTTCCGGTCGAGCCGTGTTCGTTTTTGGACAGAACGGTTGCTATAGCAACTATGGGATGACTTATCTTTCAATTTGTCCAACGTGTTTCTCAATCCAGAATATTCTAGAATATTTTCATTTTGAATTTCTTTTGCTGTATCATTTAACCGACTGCTTAAGCAGTCGAGTGCTTTATGGAAACATTCAATCGATGCCACAACGAATTTTTTATCTAAATATGTCTCTGGCCACGGCTCCCCGTTTGGTTCTCTTGACATATAATCCACAATTCCCATTTCTTTACCTGATATATGTACTACTTTAAATTGGTAAGGTAATAACCTATCTACCCACCTAGTAAGTCGGGATTGTTACGTTTTGTTAGATTTGTGTTCACCTAAGGCTGATTTAAGAGCCTTATGGTCTGTGGCCAGATTGAATTCTTTCCCCAGTAGATAGTGTTTAAATCTATCTACCGCCCAAACTACTGCGAGCAGTTCTAGTTCGTTTGTCGGATACTTTTTTTCTTGAACGCTTAGATAACGTGATGCAAATGCAATGGGCACCCATTCGTTATCTTCTATTTTTTTTGTTCTAACGTTGCTCCAAGACTACTATGGCTAGCATCACATTTTACCCGAGTATCTTTCTTAGGATCATAGTAATAGATTTGTGCGATTCGTGCCACCGCTGTCTTTATCTCTTCAAAGATCATTGAGTGTTCTTCCCCCCACTCGAATTTTTTCACAGGCAATATATCATTCTTCATCTTCTCTTCCTCATTTTCTTCCCGTAACAATGGTCTGAGTCTGTCAGTTAAACTCGCAGCGTTAGGAATAAACTTAGAAAGATGATTAATACTACCCATGAACGATCTTAATTGTTTTAAAGACTTCGGGTGTTGCAATTTTAGAATTGCCTCTGTTTTAGTGATTTTCGGTGTTATGCCTTCTG